CTCAAGAGAAATGACTGTTACTTCCTTTCATGGGCAGGTTTGCTATAGGATTGTACTGAAATTGACTAAAATGTCCCTTGTAGCTATTCTATAGAAATACCATCTACCTCCAGCTCATTGAAACCTTTTCTTAAAGTAAGGTCATTGCATTTTGTATAGAGATTGCACACTTGATATGGGCTGAAGAAATTAAATTAATTTTAACACTAAAAGCAAAGACAGCTGGACATTTCCCTTTCATATTTTCCAAACAGTATTTGGAAAGAATAGTAAAGTAACGTTCTCAAAGTAACATTCTAATTTACCTTTCATATGAGCTTCATCTCAGCCTTTACATGCTAATGGTTGGGGTCAGCAGAAGGGGTAAAGGAGGGGAATTCACTCAAGTGAGCAGAATGCCAATACATTCATGAGGATAACTGATCCAACCACATCCATACTCCATTGGGTTTGGTTGATTCGTGCACAGGGATTTGAATTGTGTCTATATTAGATGGAGGTGTGACATGTTGATCCAAGAGTTCCCATTGGGACTGAAACCTGATGTCTGACCACACCACTGAGCCTGCCTACCTTCCCTGTAGGTCATTCTACCACCCTGTCCTATTGAGCCAGAAGCTCTGGTCTCCTCCAGCAAAGACACAGAGTTAAGCTAACAGCACTTCAGAAGAGTAACACAGACAGTCACAAGAGCTCAACTTTGGGAAGATTCAGTCACAGGGATTTGACAGCACCAAGGAGCACAGCTCCGGTGAAACCAAACCCCCAAATAAATCCACCTTACTCTGTATAAAAGTTTTACACAGAGAATGCTCATAAAGTTTGTTGCTTTTATCATAGAATCATATAATACTAAGACTGGAAGGGACCTCGAGAGGTCACCGAGTCCAGTCCACTGCCCTCATGGCAGGACCAAATACTGTCTAGACCATCCCTGATAGACATTTATCTAACCTACTCTTAAATATCTCCACAGATGGAGATTCCACCACCTCCCTGGGCAATTTATTCGAGTGTTTGACTACCCTGACAGTTAGGAACTTTTTCCTAATGTCCAACCTAAGCCTCCCTTGCTGCAGTTTAAGCCCATTGCTTCTTGTTCTATCCCCAGAGGCCAAGATGAACAAGTTTTCTCCCTCCTCCTTATGACACCCTTTTAGATTTCTGAAAACTGCTATCATGTCCCCCCTCAATCTTCTCTTTTCTAAACTAAACAAACCCAATTCCTTCAGCCTTCCCTCATAGGTCATGTTCTCTAGACCTTTAATCATTCTCGTTGCTCTTCTCTGGACCCTCTCCAATTTCTCCACATCTTTCTTGAAATGCGGTGCCCAGAACTGGACACAATACTCCAATTGAGGCCTAACCAGCGCAGAGTAGAGCGGAAGAATGACTTCTCGTGTCTTGCTCACAACACCCGTTAATGCATCTCAGAATTATGTTTGCTTTCTTTGCAACGGCATCACACTGCTGACTCATATTCAACTTGTGGTCCACTATAACCCCTAAATCCCTTTCTGCCGTACTCCTTCCCAGACAGTCGCTTCCCATTCTGTATGTATGAAACTGATTGTTCCTTCCTAAGTGGAGAACTTGGCATTTGTCTTAAACTTCATCCTATTTACCTCAGACCATTTCTCCAATTTGTCCAAGTCATTTTGAATTAGTGACCCTATCCTGCAGATTAGTCGCAACCCCTCCCAGCTTGGTATCATCTGCAAACTTAATAAGCGTACTTTCTATATCAATATCTAAATCGTTGATGAAGATATTGAACAAAGCCGGTTCCAAAACAGACCCCTGTGGAACCCCACTTGTTATGCCTTTCCAGCAGGATTGTGAACCATTAATAACTACTCTCTGAGTATGGTTATCCAGCCAGTTATGCACCCACCTTATAGTAGCCCCATCTAAGTTGTATTTACCTGGTTTATTGATAAGAATATCATGCGAGACTGTATCAAATGCCTTACTAAAGTCTAGGTATACCACATCCACCCCTTCTCCCTTATCCACAAGACTCGTTAGCCTATCAAAGAAAACTATCAGATTGGTTTGACATGATTTGTTCTTTACAAATCCAGGCTGGCTGTTCCCTATCACCTTGCCACTTTCCAAGTGTTTACAGACGATTTCCTTAATTACTTGCTCCATTATCTTCCCAGGCACAGAAGTTAAACTAACTGGTCTGTAGTTTCCTGGGTTGTTCTTATTTCCCTTTTTATAGATGGGCACTAGATTTGCCCTTTTCCAGTCCTCTGGACAAGGGAAAATGAATGGTGCACAACCATTAGGACAGTCACCTAGTGTCTGTTACCTTAGCCATTTTGCAAGAGGTTTGAAACAGAGCCTCAGGGTCTGGAGTTGTTAGTGCCTCACGGAGACAACTCAGCTCCTCCTCTGCTGACCCCAGGTTAGTGCACTGACCTAGGATAGAGAAAAGGAGAAAAAGTATGGCAACATTTAATAAAACTGAACCTCTGATCCATAGATAATCATACAGGAGGATCTATGGGGTATGTTATTACCAGCTGTGTGTGAAATTTTGGCCCCACTAAAGCCAATGACGAAATTCTTGTTGACTTTAACGGAGTCAGAATTTTACCGTCAGGCTATGTCTAGACTACATCCCTTTTTCGGAAAAGGGATGTAAATTAGACGTATCGCAATTGCTAATGAAGCGGGGATTTAAATCTCCCCTGCTTCATTAGCATAAAAATGGCTGCAGCTTTTTTCGGCACGGAAAGCGCCAGTCTAGATGCTGATCTTGCGGAAAATTAAGCCTTTTCCGAAAGATCCCTTATCCCTCCGAAAAAGGGATGTAGTCTAGACGTAGCCCCTATGTCTGAAAGTTAACGGTAATGGCATGTGATTCATTGTGATTCATACAGGATTAAACAGGCACTGTATTCTGTGTGGAGCATCTTTCTCTGTATATCTGGTTTCAGTAGCCACTCCGCTCTCAGTATTTAAATCTAATCTCATAGTCAAGCACAACTCATGTAGATTGATCTGAGGTTCTGATTTGGAGGAGAATCCCTCCACTGAACTCTCATTGTAAAAGAGATGGGGCTGACCAAAAGCTTAGGTAGGAAACCCAGGCTCTTCGCTCACTTCTAAATCATGAACTGTCTCTTTAAGGGAAAGCTGTCCTGCTCTGTCATCTCCCTCTCCCCACCCCACTCTGCAGAGCGGGGGCATATGGGCATATGGCGGGGGAGAGAGTGTGTGTGAGACAATGTGTGTGTGTGTGTGTGTGAGAGAGAGAGAGAGAGAGAGAGAGAGAGAGGGACATGCTGGCTGCCAGAGAAATCTTAGCAACAGTGCACTGCCTCTTTAGATAGGCACTCCATTATTCACCATACTTCAGACTGGAGCAGCACTATTGTATGTGTCCCTCTCCCCAAACTCTGCTCTGCAGAGATGATGACAGGGGCAAAAGGGTCACCCTGATTTCTGCATGTCTCCCTGCTCACCTCCCCTCCACACACCACTAGCAGCAGATAGGATGGAGCAAGAACTAGTTTTTAGTTCTAGACGCATTAGTTCGAATTAGCTTAGTTCGAATTAACTAATTAGAACTAAGTTAGTTCGAACTAGCTCTGTAGTGTAGACGTACCCTCAGACCATTTCTCCAATTTGTCCAGGTCATTTTGAATTATGACCCTATCCTCCAGATTAGTCACAACCCCTCCCAGCTTGGTATCATCTGCAAACTTAATAAGCGTATTTTCTATACCTATATCTAAATCGTTGATGAAGATATTGAACAGAGCCAGTCCCAAAACAGACCCCTGCGGAATCCCACTTGTTATGCCTTTCCAGCAGGATTGTGAACCATTAATAACTACTCTGAGTAAAGTTATCCAGCCATTTATGCACCCACCGTATAGTAGCCCCATCTAAGTTGTATTTACCTAGTTTATTGATAAAAATATCTTGTGAGGCCGTATCAAATGCCTTACTAAAGTCTAGGTATACCACATCTACCGCTTCTCCCTTAGCCACAAGACTCGTTATCCTGTTAAAGAAAGCTATCAGATTGGTTTGACATGATTTGTTCTTTACAAATCCATGTTGGCTGTTCCCTATCACCTTGCCACCTTCCAAGTGTTTACAGATGATTTCCTTAATTACTTGCTCCATTATCTTCCCTGACATAGAAGTTATCAATGAAAGAGAGATGCAAAATGGTTGTTCTCCTCCCCCCCCCCCCCCCCCCCGTTTTTGCTACAGGGTTTGATAAAAAACAAATGTGATTTTATTAAGTATGAAAAAAGATAGAGCAAAGTAAGTTACTGAGCTAAAATAAACAAATCGTGCCAGCTAAGCATGAGAAATGTTTACAAATCATAATTTCTCACCCTAGTCCTTATTTCATGTAAAGGTCTTCAGGCCCAAGCTGATCTTTTTTCTGACCTGGGTTCATCTGTTTCTTCCTCCCTTGTTAAAGTCCTTTGTTTCCAGGTCTCTTCATGTGTCCTCTTGAGGTGGTGAGCTCTCTGTGAAACCACATGAAGACCATCATTTTCTTCCTATCCCTTAAAATAGAATTTCCCCAAAGTAGGAAGTCTTTATTCCATTCCCCTCTCCTGAGCCCAATGGAAAATACCAAATTCATGATGGATTCCAGTACCAGGTGGCATGGTCCCATGTCTTTGTAAGACCAATCACAGTTTAGGCTTACAAGAAAAACAGAACTATTCACAGGTCCTTGTCTTGAGCACTGGGCCATTAAGTTGCTCAAGTACCACTAATGGCTTTCACTAGAAGACCTAGATTAATAAACAGATTTATAATTTCTAACTTAATATACAAAAAAAGATAGTTGTACACAGGTATAATATGCACATATAGTGGATCACAAGCTCTTGAATATTAGGTTACTGGCCCCATTTTCCATAAAGCATCTTTGAATTATGCATATTCATATTAAAACACATTTACATAAAATTAACTAATAAAGACAAGTTGTGAAATTATACTTAAAGAAACTGACATCTTAGTGAACTTAGGTTCCTCAGTATCAAGCAGGAAGTCTAGTCAAACAGACAACTTTGTTTTTTGAAGAATCTACAGTCATAAGTATCATGACTTCAGGGGCAATTCAAAGAACGTGTTCTTTTGAACAGATAAAACAATATCCAATGTTCCCACAGTGATTATATTTGACTTCTGTGCAGGACACCCTGCAGCATTTGTTAACTGGTTTTAGAAGCACAGCGGAGACATTCAGAAGAACCCTGGGATTTTTGGCTTCAGCAGCCATATCTTTAGGAGGAGTATGAAACTTTTGCTTATCCTTTCAGAAAGCTGTTTTTGGGGCCCACTTAGAGTAAGTCATAGCTACAGGCTAAATCTCTCCATAAACCACATTGCATTATTGAATAATCTATTAATCTGGCTGGTTAGAGTAAGAGCACTCTCTAATATAAGACTAGGATAAATTCTTTCATAAATTCATATATCCTTTTCCATTAATTGATCTCTATGCATTTCGTTTCTCTACACAAATACACAATCTCTCCCAGAACTCCACTTCAAGATGTGAGCTTCTGTGTTTACAAATTTAACTCTTCAGAAGAGACATGGAAATTGTGAAAATACACATACATTAAGGGGAGGTGGGATTTTCAAAGTTGCAAAAGGCAGTCAGGTGCCTAATTTCCATTGAAGTCAAATCCCACTTACTTCCATTACTCTTCTATATAAAAATCTCCTCCTAAATTTAGTAGTACCTGAAGTATATATTTTAGTCATTTCTGAAAAATACATTGTTTACATTTTCTTTCTATGGCCAAGCAGTATACTGTAATATTTATCAAGACCTCTATGGCTACGTCTAGACTGGCATGATTTTCCGCAAATGCTTTTAACGGAAAAGTTTTGGCACTGACGCTTTTCCGCAAAAGCATTTTTTGCGGAAAAGCGTCTGGCCAATCTAGACACGCTTTTGCGCAAAAAAGCCCTGATCGCCATTTTCGCGATCGGGGCTTTTTTGCGGAAAACAGATCTCAGCTGTCTACACTGGCCCTTTTGCACAAAAGTTTTGCGCAAAAGGGACTTTTGCCTGAATGAGAGCAGCATAGTATTTCTGCAAAAAGCACTGATTTCTTACAGTAGGAAGTCAGTGCTTTTGTGGAAATTCAAGAGGCCAGTGTAGACAGCTGGCAAGTTTTTCTGGAAAAGCGGCTGATACAGCCTACCTGTTTTGCAGAATTAACACTGTTATACTAATTAACCCCATCTGTGCAATGTCCTGTTCACTTAAATATTTGTATTACTCATTTAAAACATGCATGAATGTAACGTCAGAGGCTATACAATTTCTACTATGAGGTACTTAACTTGGCTTTGTGGAAGATAGTGCTCTTGTAAATTCCTAGGTGCTTAAAATCCCATCCTTAGATTATAAACTCATAACCAATACAGCAATTTCAGCTCAGAATGCTGAAACCTTTATATTACAGCTTACCATCATACTGTGTTCCCTATTTATAGGTTCAGTACTTCTAGGTTATATGTAGAAGTCCATATATGGAAAATTCCAATTGTCAGGCCTAAGTCAGGAATGCTCAGAGAGGCCTTTGATTTACAATTCTGAATCTTTAACTTCATTTATAGTCTTCTTTGACCTCAGCCTTGGACCTGCCACAAAAGAACCACTAACATATGCAGAGTGTGAAATGATGTGGATGAGATCATTTCAAATTAAAAATGAAACTAGAGAGGATTTTGAAAGGCTTAGCTATGGTTCTTACAAGATTCCACCATTCTAGGGTAGGATAAGAAGCAGACCACGCGTGAGAATTGTGGAAAGCAGTGCTCTCTGCAGTTATCAAGGAACTCTGAGGGTATGTCTACACTACCCTCCTAGTTCGAACTAGGAGGGTAGTGTAGACATACCCTGAGATAGTTACCTCTTGCTACACATGGCACAGAGAGGCTACGTCTACACTGGCCCCTTTTCCGGAAGGGGCATGTTAATTTCAGCTATCGTAATAGGGAAATCCGCGGGGGATATTTAAATCCCCCACGGATTTCCCTATTACGATAGCTGAAATTAACATGCCCCTTCCGGAAAAGGGGCCAGTGTAGACGTAGCCTCTCTGTGCCATGTGTAGCAAGAGGTAACTATCTCAGGGTATGTCTACACTACCCTCCTAGTTCGAACTAGGAGGGTAGTGTAGACATACCCTGAGATAGTTACCTCTTGCTACACATGGCACAGAGAGGCTACGTCTACACTGGCCCCTTTTCCGGAAGGGGCATGTTAATTTCAGCTATCGTAATAGGGAAATCCGCGGGGGATATTTAAATCCCCCACGGATTTCCCTATTACGATAGCTGAAATTAACATGCCCCTTCCGGAAAAGGGGCCAGTGTAGACGTAGCCTCTCTGTGCCATGTGTAGCAAGAGGTAACTATCTCAGGGTATGTCTACACTACCCTCCTAGTTCGAACTAGGAGGGTAGTGTAGACATACCCTGAGATAGTTACCTCTTGCTACACATGGCACAGAGAGGCTACGTCTACACTGGCCCCTTTTCCGGAAGGGGCATGTTAATTTCAGCTATCGTAATAGGGAAATCCGCGGGGGATATTTAAATCCCCCACGGATTTCCCTATTACGATAGCTGAAATTAACATGCCCCTTCCGGAAAAGGGGCCAGTGTAGACATAGCCAAGAATGAAGCAGGCCTAGAGTGTCCCCACTGTAAGGCTGCCAGTATGCTGACTAAACTAGCTGGCCATCTACTTTGTGCTTTCCAGTGCTGGGAGATCGATTGTGTCTGACACCTGCACACATATTTGGGGATCAAGAGATACCCTCCTGAATGTAGGTGAAAAACCAATGCTAGACATCAGGGAGAGCACAGAACACATTGACAGATTCCTCAGGTTACATTCTTTCCTTTAAATGTATGTTCTACCTGCATTGCTTCTTCATTTCATCGATCCTGTGAGGTATTGAGCACCCATAATTCTTGGCAGGTACATGCCTAAATAGGCTGATTCATGGCATGCAGGGCAGTTTAAATACAAGATCCTCATTTAAACCATCTCATGATAAGGGCTTTAAAAAAACCCTGAGATTTATGTTCCTCTAAAATATATGTCCTTACCAAGGACATACAGCAACCAGATAAGAACATTTTAAAATTTATAACACATCCTAGGCTACAGACCAAGGTAAGTCAAATTTGGAATTCAAGCTTGAAAATAATAAATCCTGAAAAATCAATTTGGTAACTGGTAAGTGTAAGTTTTCTATCACCAGGAAGTTTAATGAAAATTAGATTTATTTTCTGTTTATAATCTTACAATAATGATTTAAGCTGTAACTCAAAGTATATGTCTAATTGTAAAACATGTGAATTCAGTGAAATGACTCAAGCTTAAAGGTAAGCACATGCTCAATAACCTTCCTGCACCAGAATAACTATTAATAGTAAATACATTTTTTGAATAGGAAGACATCATCATACTGTAAAAACTACATATTTTTGAAATATAATATCAGCACAGAACGAACAGGTTACTCTTGACTTAGCCATATGGATCCTAGATGACGAACAGGAGGCGTGTCAAGACTTCTTATTTCTTTAAGACTCCTATACAATTGTGCCTTTAGGTATTGTGACAGGTCAGGCTGGAGGACTACACTAGATAAAGAGAAAGGCAGCTCTAAAACTGTAATAGCTCTGATCAATCAGGAGCAAAGGAGCTAGGGCTTCTGTAAAATCAGAGACAGCTCATCTCACCTGAGGCTACTGTGGGAGCCCTCCTTGTGCGGATGGGGAGGGGGAGGGGGAAAGAGAGGAGACCAAAGCGGACTAAGAATGGAAAAGTTGCCATTACCAGAGATAGCAAAGGGGGTGGAGGAACTCCAAACAGGGGTTTTAGGCCCTCCTTTTCCTGGCAGCCCGAGAGCCCAGCTGAGAACTGGCAGCTTTGGCAGCCCAGGCTGACTCTGGGGCACTGGCCCCAATGCCTTTTGTAACTGAGGGACCAGAGCTTAAACCCTGCCAAGGGCTAATAGCCCAGTACTGAAATTGCCCAGTGAAGGACTAAGCAGGGTACTGGGACCCAGGAGCGGGGTTACCCTGCCACAGTACATTACAGCATAACCTCACAATCATTAAAACAGAGCAGTCAGACAGAAACCTACTAAAAAGTTTTTTCCCACCCCATCATTCTGAAATTACTAAATTGCTCAATAATAGTTACTAAAGTTCAATATCCACATCTAAACCTGGATTTAAAGTGTGATTTTAACACGTTAACAAGACATGTTTTAAAAATTTAGTCTAGATAAAGTGTAATATTGTCAGTGCATTAGCTAACATCTTTAAATCCAAGTCTAGGAAAGACCATGGTGAGAGGAATCATACTAAAAACAGGTTTAACAAACTCAGCTATAGATAGGGGATTTTTAAAAGAGACCTTAAAGTCCGAAGTGAAAAAATGAATCTTTAGTTTGAACACATAAACTACTT